CGTCGGTCCGTTTAACCGGAAGGAGACGTGGCACCCTCCGAGCTATGAATTGGCTCTAATGGCTCGTAGCGTCCTTTGCTGTCCATCGTAAGGTGAAACAAAGTACAGAAGTGTACGCCTCCACTCCGACTGGTCGACGCCGATTTGTGCTGCACATAGACGCGAAATGTACTTATTTGTTTCACTATATTACTGAGCAGTCTCCATGTCGTCGCTGCCGTTACTTTAGTCAAAACTTAGCCGCTGATGCCACCGTCGCGAATATTTAATTGACCTCGCCTCGCCACCCTCAAGAAGGCGCAGCTCACATTTTATTACGCCGAACCGTTGCCAGTGTACTGGAAACCGCAACATAAGATTACGGTTCTGTTCCGGTTCAGGTTAATTATAAAATTATTTATTTTGTTTACAGTTTTGTTCCAGTTCAGTTAAATATAACAGCTTTGCTCTCTTTTTTGGTTCGGGTTCGGTTTGACACCTCAGTTAAAAGCTGCACGCTATTCGCGCATGATTATCCAACAGCCACTTTGCCGTGTCTCACAACACCAGGAACGACACCTTGTCCGTCTACAATTATTCAGTTTTGGTTGCTTCACGGAGGGCGCGCCATTTTAATCCTCGAAGGGGCATAAGCAGTGAGTCAGTAAAGCTGTCAGTCACCTCCTTTTCAATAATGATGCTTCAAGAACCACTAAGCATGCGCTAGTGAATTACACTCTCAGCCCGTAGGCCCTAGATGAAAATCAACACAGGTCGCATGAGAAACGGAGCATATTCCATTTCCATTCCATTCCGCGCAAAAAGAATTTAATTCCATTCCTATTTCATTCCCCCCTGCGATGCCGCCATTCAATTCCCATTCCATTCCGGGGTCGCGAAAGTGCGGAATGATTCCGGAATCATTCCAACTCAAGAGTGGCAGCTCCGCAACACTGATGAGTTTATAAATTTTGTAAGCTCAAGTTCGGTAAGTTTATTAGTTCATTAAGTTTAGGAGTTTATTAAGTTCATGAGGTCGGTGAGGGGCGTGCGTTGAGTGAGTAAATGAGTTAAGTGAGTTTATGAGTTCGATGAGGGTCATGAGTTAAGTGAGTTTACGAGTTCGATGAGGGTCATGAGTTGGTTAGTTCATGAGTTAATGAGTTTGGTTAGTTCATGAGTTAACGAGTCCGGTAAGCGGCGTGAGTTCGGGAGTTGTGCCCACGGATGCAGCTACGCACCTTACTGCAGTGATTGGTTCACCAGTGCGCCACTCGTCTCCAAGCCGAACGAAAGCGAGATTTGGGCACTGGAGGCAGTACGTCAAAACCGTCTTCCTGGTTGCGTCTTGAAGGGCGAAAAGGACATGAAAGAGGTGGCATGTGGTCTTTCGACTTGAGAGTAGCCTCAAAAAAACGGTGTTGAGTTTTATGCCATCAAGTGACTTGGTACTCGCTTCGTGACCTTTCTGAGCCCGTACGTCTGCGTTAAACCTGTGAAGAAACTAAATAGGTACGACAAAAGAAATATATATGTCCAAGTGCCATCCCCAGCCTGTGTAGGAACCTATAACAAGTTTATGGGCAGTGTGGACCTTATCGATCAGATGGCAGCGGCCTCAAGGCTGCCACTAAAGTAAAGAAAGTGGTATATGAAAATATTTTTTTTTATGATTGACCTGGCCACCGTGAGCGCCTGGTTTGTTAACAACCTTGATTGTTGAAAAAAACTCCTGCCCAAGGAGGACGTTTCCAGCTGGATAGAGTTCAAGGCAGAGCTTGTATACACCCTGAAAAAACCAAATCATACTGCCCACACCATTGATAGAAGCTTTGATAATTCCGTTTTCTTGTAAAGTTCATTAGTCTGGGTAAAACACAGCAGGAATATCATCCCAGAAGAAAAGCGTGGAATCTCTACACCACGAAAAATCGAAGCGTGGGCCGGCAGCATAACTGCCAAGGAAGGATGTGTGGCAGAATGACACCCCTCACGGGCCCGAATTAGGAAAAAGAAGCAGGAGCACGTTTCCCACATCCCTAACCAAAGTAACACGCTCGAAACGTTCTGTGAAACTTTGCTTGACGCCAGCCCAAACTGTTTTATGCAATTTCACACGTAACCATTAAGATAGCTGCTATAGTAGTGTAGTACATATCAAGTCAACAACTCGCTTGTTTGAAACTTTGTGCCATAAATGCCCAGTGTAATTTTGCAAGCACGAAGCTCTACAAAACAAATCGCCTACTTATTCAATGCGACATTGATTGGGAAAATTTGAGGAGAGCATTAGATGAGCCTTGAAGCGCAAACAATCATTTTTACGAATTAAATTGTTTCGGGCTTTTAAGAATGAATTTTACGAACGTATTTTGGACGCCTTCCGATTCGTTTAATTCATCTGCCATGTCGGAAAACCAAATGGTACTAGCGTACTCCAGCATAGGTCTAATTAGTGTTTATATGCTATACTTTATGTTTCCGTGTCTGAAAATCTAAGTGTGCCTTAAAGAGTAAAAATATTATTTTTCGCCTTGTTCACAGTGCTGTCAATATGCCGATGCCAAGTCAGTTTTCTGCTAAAGGTAACGCCAATCTACAAATATTGGTCTACAGTTTGTATGTGCATCGTGCGGAAGAGGTCGTGTACTACGCCCATTGTCATGCGGGCGTCAGCATATAGGGCAGACAACCGGCTGCTTGAATGAACGTTTGGCGGAACAACGCAGATGCGGTCATGTCAGGGCATCTCGGTCTGCACTGCCGATATTGTGGGTGTGCTCCTATCTTCACTGACAGTAACATATTGAACAAAAACAGACGAGATTACGCGGGAGACACTTGAGGCCTGAGAAAATGGTAGATTGAGACTGCCCCATGTCAGCACTTCCTCCATGTCATTGTCAAATAAAGAACCACGGTTTTCCGATCAAAGGAGAGCAGTTTGTGTTGCTTCCGATGAATTATGTAACAATATTTTAGTCTTTTAACGTTTTGTACTTGTGTTACTTCATTGGCTTGTTTTTTGTGGACACGGTAATACACGTGTTTGTCCATTCTTATATACATATTTCCTTGGACACTGTTAAGGTTTATTTAATCCACTTGGGTTGTTATCTCCGTGTAAATAACACTATCATCTTGAAAAAAAAAATAATTTGAACCTGGGTTTCTCTTAAAATGTAAAGAAAAAAAAAAGAAATTGAAGTGGCCGAGGCCGCGATTCTTGGGGTATGCCTGAGGTGACTGAAAGATGTGCGGATGTCTCACTATTAATTTGTACACATTGTATTGATTAGATAAGTGGGCAGTGAACTAATATAATATTTGACCGTTTTCAGTAATGGAAGAGAGGTTGAGCAGTAGTTTGGCAAGTGAGACGTGATCATAAGACTGAAAAGTCTAAGAAAATTACATCGGTTTGTCGCCTATTATTTATCGAACTGTCTAATGATTGCACCACCCCTGTTAGCTGTTTATAGGGATTTCCAAAGAAACATATTGATATGTGATCAAAATAATATGAACCTTAAGATAACCTATTACATGTTTGAAAATTATGTTTTCCAAAAAGTTTACAGCGAGTGCTATTTAATGAAACCGGTCTGTACTTTATTGGGTTATGGCGATCACTAGATTTCTGTATAGACTTATTTTTCCTGACTTTATTTGTGTAGATAAAACTCTATAACGAAGAGAAGTCATAAATATTATGTGCAGATATATGTACGTTTATTGTACATACCGCTTTAAAAAATAATTATGCTGGGCTTATCTAGCACATGAAAAATGGAGATTGAATTTCAACACGTTGACTGCCAAATCAAGTTAGTATCTTGAAACTTATTGATATTGGCACTCAAGGTCAGCTTGTGAATGCCGACACTACACTCGATTGGATCATTTGTTTGACGCGATCCAATACATAAAAGGTTTAAGCAGGACCACGAGAGCTTGAGGTATTCGTTTTGTTTTATACTAACATTGAATTGTATGCTGCGATTCTCGTGTCCAATAAAAATATATATTGCGGTGCTGTGCGTGCTTCGCAGGGTTTGTTATCTCTGTGCGTGTGAGAATGGTGCTTAGTTTACTTACATATAGAGTATATGTCAGTTAGCAAGCGCAGCGGGAAGAGGTACAACAATATGCCTGAAAAGATTTTTACATCCAGCTGCAGCGTACGATTTGACGCCAAGCGGTAAACGGTTTTAAAACTTCTAAACATTTTTGATTGAAAATTTGTAGATAAAACAATCTTTTTTTTTCTTCTGGAAAGTCGTATTTAAGGTTTTGAAGTGTGAAAATCTACCAAACCAACATAGATGAAACAAGCAAATTGTTTAAAAAAAGTCTACACTTATTAGGACGTCCACAGAGTAGACAAAGAATGGTAAAATGTTTTGACTTTTTATATTTAAATGAGCTTTTCAAAAGTTTTTAACAAAAAATATAAAATTTTTGCAAGGGTTAGTTTACTCACTTATATTCTGATGTTAAAAGGAATTCACGCCTAATTCTTTTTTATGTTTAATTTCTCCTAATCTTTAAAGCTTTCCCTTCATGTCAATTTTAACCATTTCTTTGAAGGTCTTCTAAGCGGTGAGGGCTTCCACATATTTGATCAGACTTGACATAGCAGCTGCACCTCTTAAGCAACACCCGTTTTACGGAAGCTTCAGGACGACAGCACCGAGCGAGTCAGTTATTTTACATTTGTATTAATTTTTATCTGATGTGTAGACCGCGTATTGTAACAAAAGCTGCAAAGAAGGTAGGGCGTGTAGTTTCCACATTATCCATTTAGCATAGCGCCAACTTTGAACATAAATTTATGTCCAAAATCATTCAGCGAGTAAGTCACATAATTGTAAGACCTACTCAGGACAATGTTTTTCTTGTCGATGCAATAAGATATCTGCGCGTCAATTATACAACACGCACTAAATTGTTGAATACATTAATTACCCGTTTTTCGGAAATATTGAACAACAATGTTTTGCTTTTATTTTCATTAAGGATTAAGGACAACGGCCATCCTCAATGTGATGTCTTCGATCTCCGCAGATATCAGTGTAGGCCTGCGAGCATGCAGCTGGAATTCTTCCCCTTCTTCTCTCGGGGCTCAACCAGAGGCTACATTCTGAAAAAAAAATTGAAAGTGACAAGTAGTTTTTATACACGTAAATTTAGTTTAATATCTGTAATCAGATAAATTCATGCTTATAATGTTTATTGCACACTAACACAACTTAAAGAACAGTATACATCAACATCAAAAAGGGCAATATTGTCAAAAATGAAAAATGATGAGGGGACGGATGAACAGAAACTAAAAGTTTAATTTGGCACACTTGTGCCGAAAAGAAAAATATTAAGGAGTAGCAACGGCAGGCGTCGAAGGTCGGTGGAGTAGCACGATCGAGCGCAAGACCGAGACTGACACCGGCTTGCCTTGCGGAGCCCCTTATGTACACGCGTGTGCTTCTTAAACAATCGGCATAGAATGTTCGGCCCATAGAACATTCAGACCTCGCACACGCAACAGGGTTCTCGAATCTACCAGAAGGCGACACTTACAGAAATAAGAAAAAGGTGCGTCCGTTCCCAGACATTGAACGTCGGCGCTTTGCGTGGGAGCCAAGCATGCAAAACATTCCACCACGGGCGCGCTTGCTCGAAGACGCGCGTGGCATTACGCCCCCCCCCCCCCCCCCCTTTAAAAAGATTATTCTCCCGATAAAACGTTCAAGGAAACAAAACAAAGCAAAACATACAAAATAATGGGAATACATGGAGGCTGGGTAAAACACAATCGTATTAAGCGTAGCACGGGATCCCAGTACACAGTCTCACCGAGCGTAGTACGGCTTGAGGCGCACGACCTGGACCACTTCAGGTCGTGATAGGTAGCGTGACGATGCTCTTGTTCCGTCAAGAATCTCCTCGTAGTTTAGATCTCCGGGTCGACGGAGTAGCTTGTAGGGTCCGAAGTATCGTTTCAGGAGTTTCTTGTTGAGACCGCGGCGGCGAATCGGTATCCACACCCATACCTTGTCTCCGGGTTTGAAGTGGACGTCGCGGCGACGACGTTTCTACCGGCGAGTGTCTACAGGCTGTTGGTCCTGAAGACGGAGTCTAACAAGCCGCCGAGCCTCCTCTGCTCGTTGGGTAATCAACTGGGCGTCGTTGGTTTTGTCGTTTTCTGGGTTGTGAGGTAGAATTGTGTCGAGCATGGTCGTTACCTTCGGACCATGTGCCAGCTGGCAAGGTGTAACTCCAGTAGTGTCTTCAACCGCCGTGTAGTAAGCGAACCTGATGCAGGACAACACCTTGTACGACGTCTTTTGCTCTACGTCAGCGTACATGGAGATCACGTCGGTGATTGTCTTGTTGATTCGCTCCGTTAGCCCGTTGGTGTGCGGGTGGTACACAGTGGTACGACGGTGGCTGGTGTGATTGAGTCGACGGATTTTTCGGGTCAGCTGTGCCATGAACGATGATCCTCGGTCAGTGATCAGGGCCCCGGGCGCACCGTGCCAAAAGACGATGCACTCAACGAAGAAATTGGCGACATCCACGGTAGTTCCCGCCGGAAGGGCTTTCGTCTCGGCGTATCCTGTGAGGTATTCGGTTGCCACGATTATCCACCGGCTACCTCGCACGGAGCAAATGGTCTAAGCAAATCCACTCCAATGTGATGGAACGGTGTGGTCGCAGGCACAGTTGGCTGCAGGTGTCCCGCCGGCTTGGTCGGCCGTTTCTTGAGCCGTTGGCACTCGTGGCACGATCGGACGTAGAAATAGACAGTCTTGGGGAGCTTGGGCCAGTAGTACTCCTCGCAAATCCTGGCAAATTTTCTGCTGTATCCAAGGTCTCCAGCTGTAGGATCGTCATGGCAGGCTAGGAAAAGTTCCTCGGGAATGCCACTGGGATTAACCAATAGCCGCGCTAAGTTGCTGGTGCCGTAGTTCTCTTTGTTGAGTACACCGTTGTGCCAGCACAAAAATTCGTAGGATTCTGGAGAAGATTCTGGGGACTGTGCCTCCTCGGCCCTCCAAGTGCTCGGTCAGCTCCAGGAGTTAAGGGTCGACCCGCTGGAGTGCTGCCAAGTCACTCATGTTGACGGCACCGATGAAACCACGTCGTCATCGTCGGCAGTGCTAGCGGGAGTTGACAGGGGCTCTTGAGAGACAGTCGGCGTCACTGTGCTTGTGGCCGTATTTACAGACGACAGTCACGTCGAATTCATGCAATCGGAGACTCCAGCGGGCAAGGCGTTCTGACGGGTTTTTAATCTTGGCGAACCAACAGAGCCAATGGTGGTCTGTGACCACTCGCAACGGGCTCTGGTACAGGTGCGGGCGGAACTTGGTTATCGCCCAGACGACGGCAATGCATTCCTTCTCGGTTGTCAAGTAATTGCTCTCGGCCTTTGAAAATGTCAGACTGGTAGGTGATTACTCGCTCTGTGCCCTCCCGCGGTTGGACCAGCACCGCTCCGAGTCCCGTATTAGTTGCATCCGTGTGAATTCCGGTTTGCGCTAATTGGTAGAAATGTTAGAGGATTGGAGGCGTCTGGAGTCTTCGCTTAGCTCGTCGGAAGACCGTTGCTCCACTTTTGTCCACTCAAACATTGCGGCGTCTTTCATGAGATGTGTCAGCGGCGCGGACAGCTTTGTGAAATCTCGAATAAACCGCCTATACTAGGCACCAAATCCGAGAAATTTTCGCACGGCCTTCTTGTCGCACGGCGGCGAACATTCTGCCACGGCGCGCGTGCTCTCGGGGTCAGGGCGAACACCTTAGTTGCACACAACGTGACTCAGGAACTTGATTCCGCCGTATGCGAAACGACACTTCGATGGCTTGAGTGCCATTTCCGTGGATTTTATGGCATGAAGCACGGCCCAAAGGTGTCTCATGCGTTCGTCGAAATCCCGTGAAATTAAACGGCGTCATCAAGGTAGACGAGACAGCTCTGCCATTTTATACCTGCTGGCACGATGTCCATGACACGCTGGAAAGTGGCCGGTGCTGTACAAAGTCCGAAAGGCATAAGTTTGAACTCGTATACAGGCGTGAAAAAGGTAGTTTTCTCGCGGTCGCGTTTGTCGAATTCAATCTGCCAGTAGCCACTCTTCAGGTCCATCGAAAAAAAATATCGGGAGTGGCGCAGCCGGTCCAATAAGTCATCGATGCGAGGAAGCGGATACACGTCTTTTTTGGTATCTGCGTTCAGTCGACGGTAGTTCACACAGAACCTTAGAGTTCCGTCCTTCTGCTTTATGAGCACAACTGGAGAGGCCCAAGGACTGCTTGAGGGTTGGATGATGTCGTTTACGAGCATTTCCTGAACTTGCTGTTGAATAAATTGTCCCTCTTTCAAAGAGACTTGGTACGGCGACTGGTGAACAGGTAAGGCGTCGTCGTCGGTGACAATGCGGTGCTTCGCTACCGTCGTTTGTCGAACTTGAGGAAGTGGTGAAGCACTCGCTGGATTTGCCGAGAAGCTCAAGTAGCTGTCGCCGTTCAGTAGCAGGAGGCTTCGGGTCAATGACAAGTTGTGAGGACGGCGTTCTTGGCTGCTGAGATGAAGACGGGCCTTCCGAAAGTGCAGTTATCGCTGCTGTGTCCAGGAGTTCCTCAATCTGGCTTATGGCGGTACCTTCCGCAAGGTGTTGCGGCTCTTGTCGAAAGTTTGTAACGAGGACCATGGCACTCCCTCCTGAAGCTTCGTTACTCCTCTTGCGACGCCGATTCCTCTTCCTAGAATAAACTGGACGCTGCCCTCAAGCAAGACTTTGACGTAAGAAGCTTCATCGCTCCCGACGGACGATTATGGTGGTAGGTGAACATGGTCGACTAGGACTCGGACCGCGGGTGACCTCTTTCTGGGTTCCTCCAGCGGTAAGGCAGGTTTTTGTAGCACCAACCTGTTCGATCCCAGGTCAATAACGGCGCTGTATTCGCACAAGCAGTCCATACCGAGAATGACGTTCCTCGCACGATTCTGAAGGACGACGAACATCACCGGGCAGGTTTCAACGTTGTCAACTGGAATATACGCTTCCTTCCATTCAAAATGTGGCATATTGATTAAAGCAATTTTACTGACATTCTAATAACAAATACTAAACGGTATACGGCAATATGGCAGTTCAAAAGCAACGTCGTTAAGAGCAGTTAATACGAGTTCATTTAATGATTAAATCCCCTAGCTCGGTATTCGACAATACTAATCGCATCGTCCCAGAATTACGGTTTTCAACGTGGTTACTGCGATTTTTTTAGGATTTATCCAAGATTTCGAAATACTGTAACAATACAAACATGCAATGAACGAATATTTTTAAGGCTTCAAAGTAATCTAGAACGTACTTGATAACACTATGCACCATGGTAGAAGTAATTTATTTAACAGATGATGCGGTATATAGTTCATCAAGACGTACGCACTCCAAAAGCCCACGTCGTGTCTGACGAATTTTCATCTGCCACCGGTTAAATTTAGCGGAAGTTGGTGTCTGGCAAGAAGCTTAAAATTGACACAGAGTTCTATTTCGTGCTTCAAGTGTTCCACGGTAGTCCTGTCGTCATCGCAGCAGACGAGCCGGAGACGTACCTCCAGATCGATATTCATCAGCTGGACCTTGACGCTTTTTATTTTCCGGCCTTCGATGTTCAACCGGGCGATCGACCGATTTCAGCATTTCTAGATTGTCGAATAACCGAATTGCCATTCAGATCGTATTCAAGCCCATTTTTTTAGCAGCATTTCGTAGCTTAGAACACGGCTGCATACCCTCCAGTTCAGAAGTAGAAGACTAGTTAAACAGGCTCCAAGTGAAGCGGATATTCAAAAAAAACCAAATGGCGTGGATAATGGTTGGAGCTGATCTTTGGAACAATCAAACGCGGACGAAAGAAGACGGACAACCAGAATCACATTCTGAAATATACCGAAGTATTCTTGAGATAAAAGAAGACGACGCCGATAATTTAAATTACAAAATGACCGGAAACTGCCTTCAGTATAAAACTAAGCAGGATAAAAAAAGAAAAGAAAAGAAAAACCGCTTTCAAGCGGGAATAAAATGCAAAGGGTATGCGCGCTTCTTCTAGACAGCAAAATAGTAATTGATGGGTTTATTGAATCTCTGTATTTTCGCCGAAGGCGGGCGATGCTCGGAACTACTGGTTGCTAAAATCAAAATATTTCGAAGAAAAAAAGGCTCGGTCACGTGACTATTTGGCCGGAGGTCATTCAATTAGGGCTAAACAGTCTAGCAGAACATTTCTCTCTTCCTCTATGCTGAATAAAAGCAACTTGAGGCCGATGTATTAAACATTATATAACCCTGGCCTTATTAATTCTTCGTTGGAAATGAATGCTTTAAAATATCTTTAATCGAGAATCACTGAGACCTCGTGATTACAAGGTTTTTTAATACGAACAGTGTTTGATTAGCCACATTTTTTGTAAACTTGTTACGTATTACAGTTAAGGCTGGGAAATTGATAAATTAATCTACCGATTAATCGATTGATGCTCTAATCGCTAATAATGTTTTAACCGGTTAATCGGCAAACTTTTGACGAACCAAAATAAATTATCAGTTACACGCATTCACTACAATATTAAGATAGGCCAGTTGGATATGCGTATTACAAGTAAATAGCGTGAAGGTCCAGTTCACAATTTTGTCAGTGTATACTTGACTTTCGCGTTTTTATTTGTAATACACAGATTCACCACGCAGACGTGAGCGAGTGCACCTGTATGACGGGCAAACTTTAGGTCAAATTTTAGCCTAAAGTAAAGTGTAGGGGCAAGATTCGTAACTCCTGAAAAGAAGGGTGTAGAAAATTATACGTATCCCCCCCCCCCCCCCCCCCCCCCCCCCCCAATTTGAACGGCGTTCGAGTGTCCGTTTAGCGCAATAGAGACTACTGTGAACAATCACAGGAGGTCGCTCTTTTAGGAAGATATCAACGAACCACTTTGCTTCTTGCAGCAGAAGTAATGCCCTATGAGTGTGAGTGCCTTTGAACTATTTTAACTGCACATTGAGGCTAATTTATAATCAAAATTGCATATTGTGCCGTTTATCACATATTTAGCAACGGCTAAAAATAATCCTAATTTTGACATAAAAAAGACTTTTACAATTCTGTGTAATGTCGAATTGGAGTGCAGCTCTTATGGAGGAGGAGAGGAGGGTACGAAAAAGAGGGTATGCCCCTCCCCCTCCTCCCCCTCCCCTCCTCTTCTCCTGCTCCCCTCCCATTTAGCGGAAAAGTTTCCTTAAATGTAGCGAGGTATTTTTGCCGCTAAATTTAACAGAACATTTCTCTGCTAAATTTAGCGCGAACATTTATCCGCCAAATTTAGTCGAGATTTTTAGCGAAAATGTTTCCGCTACATTTAAAGGGGAAATTTTCCCATAATGCAACGCACGGTCACGCCCGCGTGAATTAGTCCCATAATGCAACGCGCGCGGTTACGCTGACGCCGACGGCGACGGCGACACCGCTCAAGCCGGAAACAGGCCCCTAAGAGCTGCGCTCTAAAAGTTATCATGCGTGGAAATTCACAACATCGATTAAACAATTAAAGTGTGGTAATTAATCGCGTTTAAATTTTGAATCGACGCCGAACACTATCAACGCGAAAATAGTATGTAGCTGTAATGTTTGTTTTAATAGAGAGTCGGATTTATGCAATGTTTTCTATCAGAAAATTGTCATAAACGAACGTCATAGTGAGTGTCATAAACGTGTTACACACTGGGAGCGTTACAGACGTCAAGGTTATATATAGAGTTTATAAAGTTCGAACCCGCAGTGGGACTCAAACCTAGGTCGGTGCGGTGGCAGTCGGATGCTATAATTACTGAGGTAGTAGAGCTTTTTCTTTTTAAAGTAACCATTTGACAGAGATCTGTCTGGTTGGGAGTAATTATTTATTAAAAAGTTCAAACACCAACCAAGCCCTCCTCTAAGGACCAATCCCTACTAAAGGAACCCTACGTTTCGAGGCCAATTCGACCTCTTCTTCAGGGGCGACTGCGGCTATGACCGTTGAGGAGCAGTTTCCTTTTCTTTTTCTTCTACGGTGACTTTGACAACGCATGCATCATTGATGTTGAGACAAATCCTCGAAAGAGACTGTTTCTCGAATCCTGGCAAATTCAAACAACACCACAGAACATCAATCGGTCTCTCGGAGCTATGCCATCCGCATATGTGAACAGGATTCGTCACTTTATTGAAAAGGTACAGCCGTAGAAGAAGAAGACCATATATACACCATAGAAGAAAAAGAAAAGGAAACTGCTTTTCAACGGCCATAGCCGCAGTCGCCCCAGGAAGAAGAGGCCGAATTGACCTCGAAACGTAGGGTCCCTAGAATGGCTTGGTCTTCATATAAGGGCTTGGTTGGTGTTTGAACGTTTGAATAATCAGAGCCTTTTTGTGCACAAAACATGCATTGGGACTGAAAACCTCACATGCCCTAGTTATAGAGCCGTTGATATCGTTTAAAACTCGTCACCATAATCCCATCTAACAGGCCAGCCCACACAGGCCGAGCCTCACTATAGTGAGATGGCGTTAGAGTGTTAGATGGGCATATATATGCGCTCTTGAACTGGAGTCCCAGTTCTACAAAAAATAGGTGTAACGACTTAGTGCAGACTTCAGGATGTCGTGCCGCCATGCATGATGTTGATAGGCTGTAGAATCTATAAGACCATAATCAAGTCGCATGGCACATTCTCTCCTTCTCTACAGAAAAAAACAACAAAAACGGATGGTGTTGTAATCAGTGCACACACCTCTTAAGTGTATTTTGTGAGACAAACAAAAATGCATCCTAACAATGCAAGAATAGTTTCCAGTTGTCGGCAAAACAGGCCTAGGAACGTAGACGTCAGCTGGTATAGATCGATATTTTTGTTTATTTGAATGCAGAAGTGCCGTCGATGTTGGCAGGTTTGCGTTCAAGATATGTAAGAAAATTAATAATAATAAATACATAAATAGTAAAATAAAAAAAAATAAAATAAATAAGTATAAAATGAAAACAAACAAAAAATAAAAAAAAATATTAGGGCAATAAAGCAAAATGAAATAAATATAACGTAAAAAGACAGAGAATTAGAGGATGAAAAATATAGCACGAACAACACACGGAGTGTTGTATGTGCGGGGCTAATACTGGTGCTTTATGGCCTTGGTCAGCACGATCAAACCTGTATATTTATACTTTTTTAGTGGCTTTGGCTTGATAAAAAATTGTATATACAAGTTAACAAATCTGAACTTCCTTAGTGTTCACTGAAAGATTATTTTTTTTTCAAGAACATTATTTATAAGGAATAATATATGTTATTGAAGGCGCAATTTGTTGCTTAAAAAAACTCTGTGTCAGTCAGAGATTGCATACAAGATTATAAATCAAAAACATAAAGCACAAAGAAGCCGTTGGTTCAGTAATCACAGGCATACATGCAATTACCTTGCGAAAATAGGGTCCACTAAATATCAGGGAAAAGTGAAAAGTATGGGGGGGGGGGGGGGATATTGAGCACTACTTACGTCTGCTCAAAGAAAACTGCTCAACAAGCACACGACAAGTGCCGTAGTCGGTGTATTGAAGCGTTTGATCGTAGAGCTCTGCATTTAAGAAAACAGTATTGAACTTTAGCTTTGGTCTAGAATGTTCATGAAGCTTAAATATTCTATTTGCGAATGTGCAATAATTCTCCCCAGCTTAAAAAAAAAGTATTGTTTGGAGCTCATATCCAAGGCTGAATAGGGGTATTTTCAGACAAGGACAATCATAGGGTGTCATCTCTAATTTTTTGTTTTCAATGCAGTTTATATGATAGTCAAACATTTCCGCACAACGGAGCCAACATTGCTTTTGCAAGATTGTTCCTTGTTCTCGTGAGAAAAAGTCGCGTTCAATAGGAGGTGAATCAACTTTCCTGGTATAATAATTAATATCCTTATAATAACCTTGAAATTAAAATATAATTTAAGTAATAATCTTTAATTACAAATGCCGGTATCTCGAAGTTGATTACTGGGACCCAAGAATAAAACGAAAACAGGTCAAAATTTGGAATGTAACGTGCATAAAAAAATTCACACAAAATAAAATTCGCGCGAAGATTCGAAGAAAAAGAAGGCTTGACGCAAGCCAACATTTAAACCCTCAAGTGCTAAAAAAAGACTTCACACAGGTGAAAATTTGTAGTCTCATGGTATATTCGTAGTATATAAAACATTTATAAAAAGAAATACAGAAAACACAATTCACACACGGAAAGACACCGAAGCAATCAAAAGATAAACAAAAATGGATTGGTTTCGGAGGTAAAGACGTCACGAAAGGACATTTTCTGACCCCGTTTCTTCATTACTAACTCGTAAAAAGAAAAAAAAATATTTGGGGGAGAGGAGAAACTTACGAAAGCACAGAAATGTGAAATGGAAGAATGCCAAAATAAGAAAGAAAGAAATACATCTAATCCCTGCCTCAGCACGCCAGAAAATATAATTCTCAGACATTTCTTTAATTTTTTGTTTGAGTCTAGGGAAAACATTGGGTCTGGGATGTCGTTAAAAATATTTGGCACATAAAAGGAACGCACACTTTCGCCCCAGTGTGTTTTAAGTCTTGGAGTTTGGAAACGCTCAGTACATATAAATTTACGAGGTTCACTTGACACTACTTTGAACACAATATCTATGAAGTGCCTCCAAAAACAGTTTGAAGGAAACAAATATTAAAAAGCCGGCAATCCAAGAGAAGCAAAGAAGTTATTACCCAATAAATCTGTATTATATGTGACACCTTTCAATATACCTTTTAAAACGCAATCAACTCGTGAATGCCAGAAGGTTAGACAGCTAAAAAGGAGTAATACCACACCTAAGTATACTACAGTCTAATTCTGGATAATGTTCTTTATAATTGACAATTGTACAAGACTTCTAATATTGTAGAGTAAACAAGAGACAGTTCTCAGCCGTTGACACGTATAAAACATGTTACTATTCCATGAAAGGTTGCGACCAAAAATAAAGACATAAGTAGTTTATGGACCTAGCATATTGAACAGGTTAAATATAATATTACTTTTAATAATAAAACAATAATAAAAATTTGTACTAAGTTTTAATGTTTATTTATAAATAAAAATAAAAATAATAGTTTGGAAAATTAAACTCATATCACGGGATACATAATTTGCCATCGGATAGCGGGTGTTGTTTTATCACTTGGCAAGACAACACTCTTTTGTGTGGCAGCTCGCTTTTGTAAGCATTAAATTTCAGCAAAAGGCAACACAATTTTCCGATGGCGACATATAAATGTTTTCAATATAATGCCAAGCAAATAAAATTTTACGCACGCCTTCCTGTACTATCATCGGTGATCGTCATCATATTGTCCATGGCGCTGCGGCTGCCACGTGCTTTGTGAGTCCTTATCTTGACTTGCTTGGTTTTACTGCAAAAACACATTAATTTGTTGTATAGTTCAAATATAATGCAATAACTAATGAAACATGCAGTCATTATTTAACATACACTGGAAAGCAACAAGCCGGTAGTAGTATTTTAGCTCGAAGATTCATACCGCTTAAACTGACACGTAGATGTCTAGGATTTAGCAGTATTAATATAAATTTGTATAAAACTATCCTTCGTCTCAACAAGGTCGTGGTACCCAGCTAGGTATTCGTATAATGCATATTTAAATACACTTGCGCGGCTTTTATAGTCGAACTTTTTTAATCAACTTTGCCGAAACCTTAGTCTATGGGAGTACTTTTACGAAAACTTCAAGCATCTAACAATTTCTCAATCAGTAAAAAAAAAAAAAAAAATACCGCGAGAAGTTGAATTTTTAGCGCGCTTTGCTATGATTTTTTTTTATTTCTACATAAAATACGGCCAAAGAGATATATTAGCGAAATACCAGAAACACCGGCGACTCACCTATAACTAAACCTTTTGCAAGCGAGATGTAAATCTCTTAGCAGTTTACGAGAGATAAACATAACTATTAAGACAGCCGACAATAAACTGGCCATTTCGATAGTGAACTGCAACAATTACCTAGAAGTCCATTGCCAATTGTGGGAAACATTTTTTTTATAAGCTACCAGAAAATGATCCAACTTAAGCCCATTCCACCACAGTTTTGAACACTGTAACTGACTTTATGAAGATAGGTAAAATAACAACTGCAATTTGTTTTCCTTTAAACCAAAATATGCTAAAATAAACATTTTATACAAAATCGAAAAAAAAACACAAAGCGAGAAATTCTGGCCATCCAAATGTATACGTGACAGGGGACACTGGCAGAGCTTTTCTCCAGCTCCATAGACAGCCTTACTAGTGAAGTTCCACCTAAATTTTATTATTTTGCAAAAAATTCTAACCACTTTTTCTTAAAGATTTCAAGGCGACTATTCCAGGGTCGTTCTTTAGGGAGAAGATAAATTCGAGGTTTCACCTCTCCACACAAATATACGCCACGACAACAGAACCGCCTTACTAAATTATGCGTACGAGAGCGTTAGGCGCCATGTCTTTCCCTTCTGCAGCACTTCAGCATTTCTTGCCCGCCTAGTGCTGGAACTCAATATCTTTGAATATAACAAAAAATTTGGCTCTGCAGGTCAATAAAATAGCAGTTGGCAGTAATATGGTTTCTGACTATGCAAATATTTTTATGAACAGAGTAGAAAAACAACAACAACATTTCTTTTGAGCAGGCCTCTGCGACCCTCATTTTACAGACGATACATTGACGACTTATTTCTGATATGGAAGCACACTGAGGACCAGCTTGTTAAGTGTATTTGACACACCAAACCGCTATATTTACACACACGTATTTTTTAGTGGTAAAACCTTTCTTGATGTCATGTTAAAAAAAGATAAGTTAAAAAAAGAGCTCTATATAGGAAGTTTACAGATCGTTAAAATATTCACATTATAACAGCTGCCACGCTCGCCACTGTGAAACTAGTATACCGTACGGTCAGGCGCACAAGATCGACAGTTATGCTCTGACGAGGGTTACTTCAATGAAAAGTGAGCGGAAATTTTCCGCCAACGGTAATTGACGGCGCAATTGAATGAGCCAGGACACTAGACCGCAATCAACTATTGACGAGCACCCTACCGAATCAAAGTGAAAATCCGCAGAATACCATAGCCCTCTTAACCTACTTAAACAGCCCTCCTAACATTAACAACACCATTTAAATACCTTTTAATATTACCCAACACAGCAAAATATTTAAAACTATAATCCATTTTTCAGCACGTGTTGTATTCAGGCACCCTAGAAATCCTAAAGATATATTTTTTTTTAAATTTAATTTGCCTTGAGGGCCCGGTTAGAGCATTACGTAAAGGGAAGCGGGGGGGGGGGGGGGGGGGGGATACACATTTATGCAAATGCACACAAAAACACAGATTGATTTAATGCATTCAGAATAAACTCCGTTAGATATGAAATGGAAAGAACTACCCTATTGAAAAAACCAGCTTAAGCTGGTCCCAGCTTCAAGCTGGGTTATTGCCCCAGCATGCCCAGCTTGGCATGCTGGTCATGCTGGTTGATCTGGTCATACTGGTCATGATGGTTGATCTGGTCCCAGCTTCAAGCTGGGTTATTGCCCCAGCATGCCCAGTTTGGCATGCTGGTCATGCTGTTAAACTGGTCATGCTGGTGAACTTCCCAACCAGTTTAACCTGTTTAAATTAATACACAGAATAAAAAAGCCAAGCTCGTCAGAAAAGCCAACTCGGCATCCAATTTATTATTTTCGTACTTGCGGCAGCCTCACATGAACTCAAATGCTACACATCCTCGGCGCTGACACAGTACTAACCGACGCACAGATTCTCGGTGCAAATTGTCTACAATGTTAATAAAACCAGATTGCTTATCTCTCAACACGAAAAAAATACTAGACACAGGCCAAAAACAGGCAATAGCAGACGAAAATACTACACGGACGAGAGAAGCGAACCTGGGTCCCGCCAGCGATGGGGGCGAAGCGGCAACTTGCGTGGTCGGCAGAGGCGAGGAAATCCGTGTGGCTTGGATGGCATTGGCGATACTCCTCGGCACCGCCGTCATTCTTGGGCACACACACGTTCGAAGACACGAAGCGACGCCGCAGTCGGGACGTCTGACATCTTCCCGCACTGAACGGACTGCCGCTCGCTGTCTTCTCAAAACCCGCTTCGCTTGCACCGTCGTTCAACTAGTCTCCAAACAACGCGCACACAGCCGTCCCTTCGATCTGCCCTCTGCCCAAGCTATCCAAACGCGTCTTCGATTCTCCGTTTCTACCACTCTCTCTCTCTCTCTCTCTTTTCTCGCACACAAAGGTAGCTTGCAGCGCGCCTGACGCGCCCGGTGGTCTACCAAAAACGAGAGGACAAAGAACAGGACGTGGCCTCGTTCCAGCAGCCGACCTTGTCGCGCGCGCTCCCAGCAATGCCAGTTCGGCTATCTCTAGCCGACCTTGGCGTGCGCGCTCCCAGCATGACCAGCTTGACCACCACGATTATTATTTCGACCAGATTCACCAGCTTGTCTCCCAGCATGACCAGCTCGTCTCCCAGCTTGACCACATTGGCTCCATGGAAAACCAGTTTGACCAGTTAAGACCAGACTGGCTCCCAGCTACACCAGATTGAATCTAAAACCAGATTCGAGTGAGACCATGCTGGTTTTTACTTAGACCAGACTGACCAGCTTAAATTCCAGCTTGCCCAGCTTAAACCAGCTTGATTGCCAGCTAAACCAGTTTAATTACCACATTGACCAGTTTGACCACCTTGATTACCAGCTTGACCACCTTAATTACCAGCTTGACCAGTTTGATTTTCATGCTGGTTTTTCCAATAGGGTACTAATAACAAGAAAAAAATGATCCCTCTAACTTCAGAGAAAACCTTCTGGGTCTACAATGGTGACGGTGTAAGACGGTAGTCTGTTCCAGTCGCAGATGGCTTGAGGGAGGAATGACTGATTATATGCGTTTGTAGAACCGGATATACGTTTAATTGCGCAGCAGTTTTTAAGGCGGGACTACGTTCGGTCAGGAGTGGATAAAAAAGAGTTCTTGAGATTCGGACAATGATTGTAAACTATAGGGAGAAGACGCATAGGGATTGTAAACTATAGGAAGAAGAAACGTCGACACAACACTCTGGTTGCCGCCGTCGCTCCTAGATGGCGGTAGCTGACCAGAGTGTTGTTAGGGAGGCTCAAGTGAGGGTGGGTGCAACTGCTAGATCGGGGATCACGGGACATGGACGCCATTTAATTGCTAAATTTTTCTGGGAGTTTATGGGGCAAAAGGTCGTTTTCTTTTCCAACTCAGGTCATAAGAGCCCATTAAGGTGCTTGAATAATTTACACAATGTATAAATAATTACTTTCTCATTGCCACCAGTTTTGTTGCGATCGGTTAAGTATTTTTTTAACGCTAAAAATGGTAAATTCCGCCATCTTGGACGTTGCTGCTTGTCTGGCAGCCCTGCTTTCTCCTCTCGACGCTTGCAATTAAGGAGGATAGAAGGGTAGGAGAGGGCATGACGTTAGCCGCGTAGCCTCTACCAGCCATGCTCCCTTGACGCCTCGCCTCTTTCTCATTTTCCTCCTTACTCTCCTCACTCACCACGCCAACGTGACCACATCACGTGACCGTAGCTAGCCTTCGTCTTGCTATAGGGTACTAGAATACACCGCAGTCTAGCCTTCGATTTCATAAAACCTACCGGACGGAGCGCGCGCAAGCCTGCAAGGAGCCCTTCTACAATCAACCATCCATCTCACACGTGACATGTCACGCGCACCAATCGCCAGAAAGATCTGCGGTCACGCTGGGCACAAAATCGTTTAAACTTTTTATGACTAGGCTTCACCAATATTGCAACGTGCCCTCTCCTCGTACTTATAACCTCCTTGCTTGCAATTCTCAGAGCGAGAATGAAGCGAGAGAGGCTGCGCCAAGGCTTTCGTTGCTTGCAATGGGAGGCGAGAGGAGGAAAGGCGCATGGGGCAACAGAGTTGCAACAGAGCGGGCGTCTGCTCTCGTGCAGGCAACATTGGCGCATATCCTTTCTCGAATCCTTTCCCTCAGGCGCCGCCGTTAAATTGCAAACGCTCTCCAGATTTTGAGTTGCGCCTAGAGCACTATATAGCTCCTACGGAGCAGAGTAGCGCAATCCTTTGAACTCCGTGTTTTGCCGACAACATGGCCGACAGAGCGGCTCGGCGCGAGTCACGTGGTACTCAGGGTTCCAGGAGGCGGCCCGCCCTATGGGAGAATACATGAAGATCGACACAACACGGCTGATTAAAAAATGAACGGCGAGTTCACACTTTTCAAAACTAGTCTGTCGTGAAGTTAGTAAAGCACTAAACACTTTATTAAAGTTTTAACAATATCGGATACGTGTGCAAATTTT